GCCTGTGAGCCCCAAGGGCTCCTCCGTCCCTGTGTCACAGCTCCAAGCACAGACTGGCAAACAGGATTGCCATATAAGAAGCCCCGCGCAGGTGGCTGGGCGGGCAGCCGCAGACCCTGCTGGTGACCCTGCAGTGGCCCAGCCTGGCCGCCGGTGCTCACCTGGACATTGTCCAGAAGCTGGTGGTGCAGGACCCGTCCCAGCGGGGCAACACCAATAGCCACCACACAGATCTTGGCGGACGTGCTGGCCAGGGAGTGGTCCCGAACGGCTTGCCCCACGTGCCGGGCCAGGCCCACTCGGAGCGCGCTGGTGAGAATCCAGGCCCCTGGGGGGGCAGGTGGTGGGGTCGCTGCCCAGCAGCTCCAAGCCCCCTCCAGGGGACGGCTCTGGCCCCTCAGCCCAACCAGCATCGAACGCTCTGGGTGCTGGGGAGGCCTCCTGGCACGAGTTGGCAACCTGAGGCCCCAGGAGGGCAAGCCACTCAGCATCTTGGGCCTGGCCAGGACCGGGGCCCAGGTGCCTTGACTGACCAGTGGCAGCACCCCCTGCCCGAGGGGTGTCCACCTGGGGGCTGGGAGTCCTGGTGGATTCTATCCCAGGACAGAGCAAGTCCTGGCCCATCCAGGGGCCCGGGTCGGGTTGGCATCGGGCTGCTCTTCCTAGTGACACGGTGGTTAACCCTGTCGGGCTTGGAGATGTCATTTCTACACAAGGGACTTTGGGGCCCTGTCCACACACGGGGTCTCCACCGCAGCTGAACACCCTGGCCAGTTACTGGACTCAGTCTGAGGAAGGTGGGGTGGCCCCAAATGTGCCCTTTGTGTTGGGGCTGAACTGATGGCAGGAGGCATCTCCCCAAGGCTGGTTGGCCCCCGTGTGGGGGGAGGTTCTAGGCCAGGAGTGGAACCCTCCTTAGGGGGCAGCCTGTGTCTGCAGGGACCTCAGGCCCACTCTGTGCAGCAGCCTCAGGGTCACTGGCACATGCTCACTCGCTCACCCATGCACATACATGCACTCATCTACTCATGCATGCCTGTGCACACACACACGAGCACATCCATGTACTCACCCACTCATGCATGCACACAAACGCACCCATGCATGCAGGCACATGCACACACCCACCCATGAGTGCACCTTCCTACACATGCACCCAGTCACATGCTCACACAAGCACACACACTCACACAGGAAAAACCCACCCATTCATGCATGCACACACACACACGCTCATGTGCACACCCGCACATGGGCAACACATGCATGCACACATGTGTGTGCACACACATACACACATGCACCCACATACACATGAACTCATCCACACATTCGCCCACTCATGCATGTACACACACCCATGCACACACCCACACATGCGCACATGCACACATGTGCACGCACCTACCCACTCACACATGCACATAACTAACTACGTACACATCCATGGATGCACGCACACACACATTCACACACACACACATATGCAGATGCAGATGCATGATACATGTATGCACCCAGCCACATGCACCCACACACACCCATGCACACATGCACCCCCCCCACATGCACACACACTCAGAAGCCCACACACATGTACACAGCCACACACACACATGCATACACCCAGACACCCAAATGCACACACACCCATACATGCACACACACATGCCTGCACACATGCACACATGTGCACATGCAGGCATCCACCCACCCACTCACGCATGCACAACCCTCCATGCACGCACATGCATCCAACCATCCACCCACCCATGCACACATAGACACATGCACTCATGCACACACCCCCACACACACACATGTACACACTCACATCCGCATGCCCATGGACCCACACAGGCCAGGGTGGCCTGGGAGTCAGCTGTGGGGTTCTCCTGGCCCGCCCCTCGGCCCGCCCCGCCCACACGCAGCCTCACCTGTGCTCTGCGCAGCCTTCACCAGCCCCTTGCGCAGGACATCACGGAGCCAGGGCTTCATGGTGAAAGGCTGTTCCTCGCCCACCAGGGACACCACCAGGTTGGGGGCTGGCAGGTGCCACTCAGCCAACATGAATTGGAAGAGGGACGCAGGGGCCACGTCGCTGGGCACCTTCACGAACTGCGGGGGCGGGGAGGGGGAGGGGCACTGAGTGGGGGGCAGCCCCGTGTGAGGTGTGGGCACCAGAGGGACGGGCGTGGTGGGTGGGCGCTGGAGGGCAGACATGGGAGGGGTGGAAACAGGTGGCTGATGGACTGGGCACTGGCATGGAGGGGATGGGGTGGGCACCAGGGGGGCTGACAGGAGGAAAGGGTCCCCAACTCTTGGGGCAGGATCCACCCCCTCTGGGCCCCATCTCCTCCTCAGGACCCCAGGGGCTGGGTGGAAGAGGGCCGTCCTGGCTGCCTGGCACCAGGCCACTTGGGCTGGTTCCCCTAGCGCCCCTGACCAGAGGTAGACCGTCTGAGCCGGGCAGCATGGGGGTGGGATATTGCAGGGCACACGCCCAGAGAGACACCAGCTCCTAGCGTCTGCCTGTTGGGGCTCTGAGCACCACCCGAGAGGCGGCCCTGGGTGCGTGGTCAGTTGGGGAAAGAAGCGAAGCCTGAGCATAACCCAAGGTGCAGTGGGGTCTCTGGGATGTGGGGCAGCCACACTTACCTTGCCACACTTCTTCCCAGACCCACCAAAGTCAAGCTCACCCCGACACAGGCTTGGCCCCCTCCCATCTCTAGTGTCCATGGGGCTGCTGGCACAGGGGTCCTGGGTGTCCTGCATGGGCACCTCTCTGCAGGCAGAGTGACCCCTGATGGTGGGAGGGGGCTGGGGTCCTTTTTCGGCCAACATGACAGAGAAAGGTGGGTCACGGGGCACCCCCACGAGGGTCGCTCTGCCCCGTGACCTATAGCCCCTCCGTTAGGGCTTCATGGTGCAGGCTCAGCACCGCCTCGGGCTCCTGTTACTGGAGTCAGAATCTCACCTGCCCAGGTGAGGGAGGGAAGAACTCACCTGCCAGCTCCGACTAGGACAGGGCTGGAGCCAGCACCCCTCACCACCACTCCTCACCACCACTCCCCCCTGGGGCTGGCAGCCAGGCGCTGGGCTGGGGCTCCTGCCTAATACTCACCCCAGCCTGGGTGCCTGGGAATGGCCACTGCAGTCAACGTCCCTCCACAGGCAGCTCTCACAGGGGCTGTCCTGGAGACCCCTGAAGGCTTAGCTCAGGACTCGAAGCCTTCCTGCCCCATGACCAGCCCCAGCCCACATCCCCAGTGGCCCCTGGACAGGGATAGGTCACCCTACCATGTCTGGGCAGGGCGGCAGGGGCGGGGCAAGTGAGAGGTGAGGCAGGTGCCCACAGCTCAGATGTGGATGGAGGGAGGGGAGGAGTTCGGGGCCTGGGAAGGTGGCACGGTCACCCCCACAGACTAGCCCCCATTGACTAGGTGGGCCCAAGAGGCCAGAGGGACAGCCCATGCCCAAGGTCACTCAGCAGGGCCTCAGCAGAGCCCCACCCCGCCCCACGAGCCCCACCACCACAGCCGCCACCTCAGCAAATGGGGGAGGGGAAGCTGAGGAACATCCCGGCGTCGGTCAACCCTGGCCCCTGAGCTTGGCTCCCATGTCTCGACTCCCGGGCTCTAGGCGCTGTTACCCCTCTACCCTGGAGAGTCTGAAGGCCTGCAGCCTGGGACCAGCCAGGGGTTACGCGTGGGGCTGCACCCCACCTGCCCATCTGAGCACCCTGGTGCCTCCCGGCCACACTGCCTGCCACCTCCAAGGGGCCCTGCCCTGGCCTCACTGGACTCAGTGAGAGTGAACCCGCACCTCCGTCTGCCCCTCAGAACTGAGCGCTAGCCATGCCCAGGCCACAGCACGGGACGCCGAGCACGAGGGCTGAGATGGCCCCGGAGGCCTGCGAGCCTGTGTGGCCTGTGGGCTCTGAGATCGCTGGTGGCCATGAGGTCCACGTCCCCAGCTGTGGGAGGGCTGTCCCAGCTTCCCCTGGGCCAGCCCACCCTGGCTTCTCCCTCTCAGGCCCCCTCATTCTTAAGGCAGCCCTTTGTTCCTTAGGCTGCGCCCACCCGTGCACTGAGGAGGGTGGACTGTGGGCTGCGGCCCTCCCGCCTGCCGACCCAGCTGTGCCGGGCTGGGGGGTGGAGGCCGGTGCAAAGCCGACGGCTCGAGCAGGCCCCCCTCTGGGCCCCTAGAGCCCTGGCAGGTCCCTCATGCACTGGGCACCCTTGCAGCCGCCCAGGGAGGGGGTGCAGGCTCCGTAGCCGCTCCTTTCCTGGTGCAGGGACTGGTGGGTGCAGGCGCCCATCAGGAGACGGATTTGAATAGGGCCTCCTGAGAGCGGGCAGAAATTTGCCTGCGGGTTTTAACACTGGCACCCCGAGTGAATGACTAGCCTCACAAGGCGGCGGGGGCAGCCAGGGACAGGGTGTGGGGATGGGTTGGGCAGAGTGGAGGCTGGCTGGTGGCCTGGTTGCCCAGTGGGCACATGCCTCACCACATCTGGGCCCTGTAAGTAGGAAAGTGGCTGGAGGTATCTCCCTGCCCAAGGTGTGGGGGCCTGGCTCCAGCCATCACACTTGCCTGGGGGCTGGGCCCAAGCTGGGTGACTTCACCTTGGGCCTGTGGCCACGGGTGGGAACGCTTCTTCTCCCACCTAACTCCCTGTGGGTGGCCCCTGACCCCAAATTCCGTTCTAGCCCTCCCTGGTCTTCCCCCACCCCCATGGAAGGGTCCCCCTGGGTGGGAGCCAGAGGAAGACCCAGGCCACGCCCACCTCAGACCCTCCTTCCCATGGGGCGGGTATGGGTTCTGGGCCGGAAGCTGGGGCAGGCAAGCCAAGCAGGAGAGTCAAGGGCCAGCCTTCTATCTCCTGGGGCAAGGGAGCCCTGAGAGGGACCCAGGTCCAGCCCCCCAGTTCCCACCGAGGGCTAAGGGTCATTGAGCGCCTTGCTGGGCGCTGGGCCAGAAGTCAGGCAAATGGGGCCACCAGGAGGAGGCAGGCAAGATGAGGATTTGCATGAGCTGAGGCCTGGGTCATTCTCCCCCCACCATGGTTTCTGGAAGGCGGGACCGGGCGGGGTCCTCTCATCAAACTCTCAGGATGTGGTGGCAGCCCAGGCACTGGGGCTCCTGCTTGAGGACGTGGCCCCACCCCCAGCCGGAAGCCCTCGCAGAAAGGGTCGCTGAGCTGACCGGGGCTGAGGCGGACAAGCTGTGCGGCCCTGGGGCCCGCCCACGCATCCCTGCTGGCTGTGTGACCGGGTCCCTCGACTCACTGTGCCTGACTCGTCTGTCCACATGGACTGTAGCAAGGAGAGGGCCAGAAGGGTCCCTGTGCGCAGCAGACGCGGAATCAGCTGTGACTCCCCAGACGTGCTGCAGGGTCTCCCTGCGCTGGGTGGGCAGGGCCGTGGACTCAGGCTGCCAGGCATAGGGCACGTGTGGATCACGGTGACACCTTCCTCTCCAGCCCACCAACCCTGACCCACCACGCACCAGCTGCGGGGGCCCTACCTGCCAGGGTTGCTTGGTCAGGAGCTGCCTTGAGGTTTGGACCTGAGCCCATGGGTTGCCCCTCCCCACTCCCACCCCACCCACTGACTTAGGACCTGGGGCAGAGGGCAGCCTGTCCCCATGGTTCTGAGATGAGAGAACCCTCCCACACCCACCCCACACACTGACTTTGGACCTGGGGTGGAGGGCAGCCTGTCCCCAAGGTTCTGAGATGAGAGAAGCCTCCCCAGATGCAGCCTCATGAAAGTGAGGTTCTCCCCTCGCCAGAGACATTGAACCCCCCTGACGGCTCCCCTCTGGCCTCTCCTTCCAGCCCTCCTGCCAGGGAGCCGGTGGCACTCCTGCCCCCCACCTGTGTGCCCCCACTTGCCTGGCTTCTCTCGGTGCCCTGGCACACAGCTGAGCGGCCGGCGAAGGTGCAGGGAGCAGCTCTCTGCTCGCCACGCAGGGCACGCCTGCCAGTCTGTCCTCCACCCACCCTCACCCTCTCCGCCCCGCCCACCACACCCAGCACCTGGGCAGCACTGTGGGCTCCGGGGAGTTGGGCTCCAAACAAACTCGAGACTCGATGGGGCCCAGCCTTCCTCCAGGGGTCAGCCTCACTGTCTGCTTGCCCCAGCTGGCCCGTAGGGCACATCCCACCTGACGGGGTGGCGTGTGCTGAGCAGTGGCCCCTCTCCATCCAGCCTGGGTGTGGCCTGTGGCCAGGCCCATGTCTGGTTAGTGTCAGTGTCACCCCCTGACCTGGGATTGAACAGTGCTCCACTGAGTCTACCCCCACTGTCCCAGTCAGGGGCAAGAACACGGGGTTCACCGGGCTGGCCCAGCTGGCCCGTGGAGGACAGGTCAGCTGAGGGATGCCCTGTGCCCCTCTTCCCCTGCCTCCCCACTGCCCCAGGGCTGCCCTGGGCAGGGTACTTCCCACAGGAACTGTGGCCACACACCATGCAGAGTCAGGGCAGCCTCCACAGCATGTCTTCTCCAGGAAAAGGGGCTGTGAGGGCCATGTGGGTGCTGCCCCTTCCTCCATCAGGGCCAGGGGCCGTGGGGGTGCCCCGTGATCCCCTTCCTCCATCAGGGCCAGGGGCCGTGGGGGTGCCCCGTGATCCCCTTCCTTCAGTAGGGCCAGGGGCCGTGGGGGTGTCCCGTGATCCCCTTCCTTCAGCAGGGCCAGGGGCCGTGGGGGTGCCCTGTGATCCCCTTCCTTCAGCAGGGCCAGGGGCCGTGGGGGTGTCCTGTGGGTCCCCTTCCTTCATCAGGGCCAGGGGCCGTGGGGGCACCCCATGGTCCCCTTCCTCCATCAGGGCCGGGGGCCGGGGGGGTGCCCTGTGGGTCCCACAGTCCTGGACTTGCACCTTTGTGTCCTGCAAGCTCCTGACCCCACTGGGCCTCAGTTCCAGTTTCTGGGAGGTTGTGGGGATTTCATGGGTAACACAGAAGACAGGGGAGCCTGAAAATGCTTTTGAGGCCACTTCTCCAAGCAGACCCCAAGGAGGCTCCTGCCCAGGCGCCCCTCCCGCCCCGAGCCCCAGGGAGGTGTGCAGCGGGGCTCCTGCTCTGGACACTGGGCCCTCTGCAGTGTGGCCCTGTGGCCACTAGAGGGAGGCATGGTGTCGCAGTCGGGTGGCTCTCCACTGGAGCGTGTGCAGAGACTGGCCTGAGGTTGGTTTGTAAAAACAGGACAGTTTGGAACCAGGGCACAAGGTAAATCAGAATCCAGGGTAGGGACCCCCCAGCTCCAGGCCCGAGCCCCTGTGGGGCCAGTTCTGAGAGGACAGGAGGCCCAGACCCCACCCAGGGCAGTTGCTGGGGGCTCTGAGCGATCAGAGGGGCCAGAGGCTGGGCTCCGTGGTTGGGCCGCATATTCCGCCTTGAGCGTCCAGCCTGGCCCCACTCCCACCGCTCCAGCCCGGCCTAGCCTTGCCCTGGCGCTGCTGACGTCAGGGGTCCTCTTGGCCCCTCTGGCTCCCGTGGCTTTGCCCTGCCAGCGGCCAGGCCTCTCTGCTCCATCAGCACCATTTGGATGTTGCCTCCATGTTCCCTCCCCCACACCCCGGCTCAGGTGCTGCCCTCCAGCTCTGTGCACATTGCCTGAGTCATTCATCCAGGAGCTTGTCTGTGTCTGCTGCCCCCAGCGGACTATTGGGCCCATGAGTGTGTGGTCACAGCTGTCAGGAGCAGGAGTCCGGGGCCCAGGGCACACCTGGCAGAGCAGGTAGTCCAAAGCTGCCGAATGAGTGAGTGAG